GAGACTAGGATTGCAATCCCTGCTTTTTTCTGCTTTCCATTTGCTTGGTAGATCTTCCTCCATCCATTTATTTTGAGCCTATGTATGTCTCTGCATGTGAGATGGGTCTCCTGAATACAGCAGACTGATGGGTCTTGACTCTTTATCCAGTTTGCCAGTCTGTGTCTTTTAATTGGACCATTTAGTCCATTTACATTTAAGGTTAATATTGTTATGTGTGAACTTGATCCTGCCATTATGATATTAACTGGTTATTTTGCTCATTAGTTGATGCAGTTTCTTCCTAGCATCAATGGTCTTTACATTTTGGCATGTTTTTGCAATGGCTGGTACCGGTTGTTCCTTTCCATGTTTAGTGCTTCCTTCAGGATCTCTTGTAGGGCAGGCCTGGTGGTGACAAAGTAAGCATTTGCTTGTCTGCAAAGGAATTTATTACTCCTTCACTTATGAAACGTAGTTTGCCTGGATATGAAATTCTGGGCTGAAAATTCTTTTCTTTAAGAATGTTGAATATTGGCCCCCACTCTCTTCTGGCTTGTAGAGTTTCTGCCGAGAGATCTGCTGTTAGTCTGATGGGCTTCCCTTTGTGGGCAACCCGACCTTTCTCTCTGGCTACCCTTAACATTTTTTCCTTCATTTCAACTTTGCTGAATCTGACAATTATGTGTCTTGGAGTTGCTCTTCTTGACGATTATCTTTGTGGCGTTCTCTGTATTTCCTGAATTTGAATGTTGGCCTGCCTTACTAGGTTGTAGAAGTTCTCCTGGATGATATCCTGAAGAGTGCTTTCCAACTTGGTTCCATTTTCCCCCTCACTTTCAGGCACATAAATCAGACATAGATTTGGTCTTTTCATGTAATCCCATATTTCTTGGAGGCTTTGTTTATTTCTTTTTCCTCTTTTTTCTCTAGACTTCTCTTCTCTCTTCATTTCATTCATTTGATCTTCAATCATTGATACTCTTTCTTCCAGTTGAACAAGTTGGTTACTGAAGCTTGTGCATTTGTCACGTAATTCTCGTGTCATGGTTTTCATCTCTATCAGTTCGTTTATGGCCTTCTCTGCATTGATTATTCTAGTTATCCATTCTTCCATTCTTTTTTCAAGATTTTTAGTTTCTTTGCCCTGGGTATGTAGTTCCTCCTTTAGCTCTGAGAAGTTTGATCAACCGAGGCCTTCTTCTCTCAACTTGTCAAAGTCATCCTCTGTCCAGCTGTGATCCATTGCTGGCGATGAACTGCATTCCTTTGGAGTGGGAGATGTGCTCTGTTTTTTTGAATTTCCAGCTTTTCTGCCCTGCTTTTTCCCCACCTTTGTGGTTTTATCTGCCTTTGGTCTTTGATGATGGTGACGTACTGATGGGATTTTGGTGTGGGTGCCCTTTCTGTTTGTTAGTTTTCCTTCTAACAGTCAGGACCCTCAGCTGCAGGTCTGTTGGAGTTTGCTTGAGGTCCACTCCAGACCCTGTTCGCTGGGTATCAGCAGCGGAGGCTGCAGAAGATAGAATATTGATGAACAGTGAGTGTTGCTGTTGGATTCTTGTTCTGGAAACTTAGTCTCAGAGGTGTGTCCAGCCATGTGCAGTGTGAGGTGTCAGTCTGCACCTAGTGGGGGATGTCTCCCAGTTAGGTTACTCAAGGGGCAGGGACCCACTTGAGCATGCAGTCTGTCTGTTCTCAGATCTCAACCTCCGTGCTGGGAGACCCACTGCTCTCTTCAAAGCTGTCAGACAGGGTCATTTACATCTGCAGAGGTTTCTGCTGCTTTTTGTTTAGCTATGCCCTGTCCTCAGAGGTGGCGTCTACAGAGGCTGGCAGGCCTCCTTGAACTGTGGTGGGCTCCACCCAGTTCGAGCTTCTGGCGGCTTTGTTTACCTACTTAAGCCCGAGTAATGGTGGGGGCCCCTCCCCCAGCCTTGCTGCCGCCTTGCAGTTAGATCTCAGACTGCTGTGCTAGCAATGAGGGAGGCTCTGTGGGTGTGGGACCCTCCCGGCCTGGTGTGGGATATAATCTCCTGGTGTGCCATTTGCTAAGACCCTTGGTAAAGCACAGTATTGGGGTGGGAATTACCCGATTTTCCAGGTGTTGTGTGTCTCAGTTTCCTTTGGCTAGGAAAAGGGATTCCCTTTCCCCTTGTGCTTCCCAGGTGAGGCGATGCCTTGCCCTGCTTCAGCTCTCACTGGTCGGGCTGCACCAGCTGACCAGCACTGATTGTCCAGCACTCCCCAGTGAGATGAACCCAGTACCTCAGTTGAAAATGCAGAAATCACCCATCTTCTGTGTTGCTCGTGCTGGGAGCTGGAGGCTGGAGCTGTTCCTGTTCGGCCATCTTGCTCAGGATCCCCCGATTTCAATACATCCAAAATTTTCTTCTTGAAGATTTTTTCTTTGTCTTTAGCTTTCAGATGTTTGATTATGATATTTCTTAGTGTGGATTTCTTTGGGATTATCCCGTTTGAGTTTCACTCATCTTGAATTTGTAAGTTAATCACTTTCACCAAATTTGGGTAATTCTGAGCCATTATTTCTACAATTTTTCAGTACCACACCCTTTCTCCTCTCCTTCTGGGACTCTGATGACATGAATGCTAACACTTTTGTTGTCCCACAGTTTATTGAGGCTCTGTTTTTTTCCCCCTCAGTTTATTTTCTCTGTTGTTGAGATGGAATAATTTCTATTGATCTATTTTTGAACAGGAACGTGTTTCTCATAGTTTTTGAGGCTGGGAATTTATTTCTCATAGTTTTGAGGCCAAGATCAAGACACCAACAAGTTCAATTATTTGTGGAGGGCTGCTCTCTGCTTCTAAGACAGTGCCTGTTGCTGTATCCTCTGGAGGGGTAAAATAGTGGAAGGTGGAAGGATATTGATTCTTTTCTCTGTCATCTCCATTCTGCTATTGTGCCTATCTAGTGAGTTTTTTATTTTCCAGTTCTAAAATTTAACTCTGTAATGGGTTATTATATTTTTAGTTCTAAAATTTCCACTTGGCTCTTTTTATATCTTCTATTTATTTGCCAAAGTTTCCTATTTTCTCACTGTTTCAAGTGTGTTTGTAATTTCTTATTGAAGCATTTTTATGATATCTTCTTTAAAATCCCTAACAGATAAGGCCAGGCATGGTGGCAGTGGCTCACGTCTGTAATCCCAGCACTTTGGGAGGCCGAGGCGGGCAGATCACTTCAGGCCAGGAATTCAAGAGCAGCCTGGCCAACATGGCGAAACTCCATCTCCTACTGAAAAACAAAACAAAACAACAAAAACTAGCCAGGTGTGGTGGCGCATGCCTGTATTCCCAGCTACTCAGGAGGCTGATGCACAAGAATTGTTTGAACCCTGGAGGAGGAGGTTGCAGTGAGCCAAGACTGGGCCACTGCACTCCAGTCTGGGAGACAGATTGAGACTGTGTCAAAACAACAACAACAAAAATCCCTAACATAATCTCAAAATCTGTGTCATTTCACTGTTGGTTATCTGTCGAATGGTTCTTTTATCATTCAAGTTGAGATTTTTTTCTGGTTCTTGGTATGATGAGTGATTTTTATTGTGTGCTGGACACTTTGGGCATGATGTTAAGAGACTTCAGATCTTGTTTAAATTTTCTATTATAGCAGACTTCTGCTAATACCACACTAGTGAGGTTAGGGAGAGTGTAGCATCTTCTGAGTAAGTCCATGTGGTCTCCTTACTGTGGTGGAAGTACAGGATTCTTGTTCATTTCTTTCCCCATGGTGTTTGGTTGAAGTAGGGCAAATATTGTCAGAAAGATTTCTGTCTTACTAGACTACCCCTTTCCTGGACTTTTGTCTAAAGCAAGAGAATTTTCTTGGTGCAGTTTTTTTGTCTGCACCTGCCAGAATTGTGGTTGCAGATTTTCTAGTGCCCAATCTGGGAAACACAGGAGGCAATAAGAAAACCCAGGAAACTTACCACGGTCAGTCCTTTAGTTCTGAGGACTCTAGCTACTCCGCCTTGTCCTCTCCAGACTCACCAGAGAAATAATAAGCATATCAGATGTTTATAGCATAAGCTGGTGCTGCTAACATGCAGCCACCCAGCTTGCAAAGTCTTCTTATGTTTGCTTTATATATTATGCTCAGAGATTTTAGTTCTACTTCACAGGAGTGATAGTAAGAATTACATCTACTTCATTTTGTCCAGAACTGAAAGTCTGACTTTCATTTGTTAAAAAACATAAAAGTAATGCAGTGGTTGGGCTCCTGAATCTTTAAGACTGCTATTTGTTCTGATCTCCATGAATGACCAATGTAAAATGATGAATGGTAGAGATCCTAAATGGGAGAGTTGAAGAGGGAGCCTTTTTTTTTTTTTTTTTTAACCTCCCCAGCAGTGATTGAGTAGGAAGGGTACCTGGGCTTTTTGATGTAGCAGGAGTTTTTCTTGAGTAAATCAGTAAACTGGCATTTAACTAGAGCTGGTAAAATCAGGATATGAAGCAGAACCTGGAAAATCCCTGGCCAGGCTGATGTTCTATATGTCTTTTGAGGGCTATGCAATTAATACATCCCTTGGAGCAACTGTGGCTTCTTCCTTGCTGATTGGAAGCTCTTGTGTTTTCCATGACCTCTTTCTGGTGCTGAGGTTTTACATCTCGCACACTTATGCTGCATCTTCCTAAGTTAAGTAAAGTTCCTTCAAGAGAGCAGGAAACATTCAACCCGAGAAAGCTGATTGAGATTTAAAAAAAAAAAAAAGAGAGAGAGTGAGAGAGTAGGAAACAGTTCCCCTACTTCCTCCTCTCCCTACGGGTACCTACTAAAGTGGTCTTGCTCGCCCTAGAGGCTCATAAACATCGGATAGGCTTATTATTTCTCCGGTGAGTCTGAGTAGCATGAGCTGGTGCTCCTAATGTGCAGCCACCCAGCTTTCAGACCTTGCAGAATTGGCTCTGGACGGTGAGAGACAGCGTCTTTCCAGGGCAGCATGTCTTTAAAAAACAGAGTTCAGTAAGGAGACCCACAGTGGCTACCCAATCCACAGGGAGGTGTTTATTGAAGTCTCTCCTCAGGATCTTTGTGTTTTGGGATCACGTCATGATTTTAAGCCGCACACTAGAATGTTCACATATTTGACCGTTGTTTGCCAGACATTCCTCCCTCTCCTGGTGACTCTCATCTATCCACTCACCCTTCCGCCAATTGAGTCCGTGTATTTGTAAAATGAATGTAAGTGTGAAAGAGCGAAGGCAGGAAAGGAGAAGAATGGAATGGAATGGATGAACTTGAACACTACAAATACTCTTGGAGACCTAGAGATTCTCATGAATTTGCACATTTATTGACTGAGGCACTGGGGTTGGGAGGTAGTTGTACAGAAACCAAAGAGGCTAAACAGCAGCACTAGTTGCAGTCGGAGAGCTCAATGGCTTCTTTCGGGTAGGTTAAGACATGAAGGATTTGCAAACCTCAATGGCTTCTTTCAGGTAGGTTAAGACATGAAGGATTTGCAAACCTCGGGTAACATCATGAGAGCTCTAAGCCCATCGGCGCCACTGGAAAACACCTCCAACTCCTTCGCCTCCGTGGTACCCCGGGGGACCTATTTGGATGGCCAGGTAGGCGCCTGCTTCTGCTGGGTCTGGTGGCAGACCGGGACGCCCTTGCCACTCCCTGAGCCCCCCACGGAGGAGCCACCGCCACAGCTGGAGCTGCCGCCGCCCCCAGAGGAGCCACCTCCGCAGACGGAGCCCCCGCCACCGATGACGCAGCCGCTGCCAACCCCGGAGGAGCCGCCGCCGCAGCCGGAGCCGCCGCCGCCCCCACCGCTGGAGAAGCAGCCACTGCCGCCGCCGCCGCCGGACGACCCCCCTCCGTAACTCGGCTGGGGCGTGCACGAGGTCTGGGTGACCTGCTGCGAGGAGACGTAGCCGGAGCCGCCGCCGCCAGAGGAGCCTCCGCCGCAGCCGGAGCCGCCGCCGCCGGAGTAGCCGCCTCCGCCGCAGCCGGAGCCGCCGCCCCCGCCGCTGGAGAAGCAGCCGGAGCCGACGCTGGAGGAGCCGCCGCTAGAGACGCCGCTGGAGACGCCTCCGTAGCTCTGGCACTGGACAGCCTGACCCGAGGAGCCGCCGCCGCCGGAGAAGCAGCCGGAGCCGCCCCCGGAGGAGCCACCCCCACCGCTGGAGAAGCAGCCAGAGCCGCCCCCGGAGGAGACGCCGCCGCAGCCGGAGCCGCCGCCACCGGAGGAGAAGCAGCCGGAACCTCCCCCACCGCTGGAGAAACAGCCAGAGCCGCCCCCGGAGGAGCCACCGCCCCCGGAGTACTTGACGCTCCCACCGGAGCCCCCTCCGCAGCCTCCAGTGCCGCCGCCGCCCCCGGAGGAGCCCCCGCCACAGCCGGAGCCGCCGCTAGAGTAGCCACCGCCGCCGGAGTAGCCGCAGCCAGAACCGCTGCTGCCGCCACCGCTGAAGGAGCCGCAGCTGCCACCGCCGCTGCCTCCGCCTCCGCTACCGCCGCCAGAGGTCTTCACGCAAACCACTGGGGGCTGGGGGGTGGGCTGCTTTTTCTGATAAGACATCTTATCTAAGGAGGAAGGGGAGCCTGGAAGGAGAGAAGAGAGCATCTCTGGACCAGCTGCAAGAGGATACTTACGGAGGCAGCTGCATCCATGGCAACATCGCCATCCTCCCAGCGCCTGCCTGCGCCAGGCCCAGGGCTCCTTCAGGTGCCCCGAGAGCCCTCAGCGGGGATTCCTGCTTTTGGAAGAGTTGAGCTCCTCCTTCCCCTGCAGAAAGCCTTCACTAAGCTTTAAACAGCCCAGTTAGCAGTGCCCATTCTTTCTCCCAGCTCTGCCTCTGACCACTGTTGCGTGATTTCAGGGCAGATCACCCACACTCCCGCCTCTTTCTCATTTCCTGTTAAATGAAAGGGTTTGAACACTTCATCTTTCAGGCCTCTTCCAGTCTCAACACTGATTCTCTAAGTGCAAATAGAAAGCTACCACAAACCTCTACCTAGGATGGGAGATTTTACCTATTCCCAGTACAACAGAGGGAGGTTTGCTGGACTCCATTCTACTGAGGCCTGTTGCACTCCATCCTCTGCAAAAGCTCTTAGTTCGAACTCTTGGTCTGTCCCACTGAGCTAGGCCATGATCCAAGGGCCAGTTATTAGAAAGGCTCTGCTGTGGCCCTGCCTGGAAACGGGAAGGACCCTGGTGGTCCTTTGGACTAATATCCCCGACCAGAAACTATTAGCCATCTCTTCCATGATTTTCTCAAGTCCAAGTTTGGTAGAAGGGACTTTGACTAGTAGGAAGCTGTATTTCCCTCTCAGAACTTCTAACTCTGTAAAGCAGCAATTGGATTTCTGTGGCACCTCAAATCCCTCCCATCTGCAACTTTCTTGGAATCATTCTCCCTACTCTCTTGAGAGTGGGCTCAGCCTCTCCTCCTGACAGTTTCACGAGGTCTGCTCAGCCTGTGCACAAGTTGCCTTGGACAGCCTCTCCAGAGTCCTTCTGTGCCCGGCACCATGCCTGCCCCTATGGGAGTGCCAGAGAGCAGGAGATAATCTTGTCTTTGTGGAGTTTACATTCTGACCAGAAGACCAGAAACCTCATCTGCATTGCAGCAGCTCATCCCCTGCTCCTTTCCTGACCGCCCTCCAAATGTGAGTGCTTTTGGGAAAGCGGAGGCCCTATAATAGCTCCCAAAGGGGAAAGAGGCCCTGGTCCATCTAATCTAGTCAGGCCTGGGCAAGACCAGCTGGGAAGATGAGAGACTCAGTAGAACCCACACTTACCCAAAGCACCAGGAAGGGTGAGTGAGGAGAGAAGATGCTGGCAATGTGAGGAGCACTGAGCTCCTGAGGTTATATATGGAAGCTCTCCAGGCCAGCTTCTTGTGTTTGAGCTCAGTTACGTGACCCGTGGCTGTCAGCCCCACCTCCCTGTGATTGCAGGCACAGGATGGCCCATTCATGAAGGTTTTGGCATTCTTGAGATGGGCAGCCTGGTGTATGACTGGCCTCTCCTCTGATGCAACAGTGTAGCAGGCTCATCAATGGGGTCACCCAGTCAGAGTGGATGGCAGACATTGTTTCCAAAACCTCTGGCACAGGATGCATACCAGGTGACCACAGGGCTGTGCTTGAAGAATAGGTCCCAGAGTCTTGAGGTGCCCTTAGAGAGTCAAACTGGAGATTTCAGTGCTTTGTCCAAGGAGTAGGACCTTCCAAATCCTACTGCTTGGCTTCTGGTCCTGCTACTCTAAAAGTCCTCAAAACTTTAGAACCTGTTACTCCTTTGCAAAAATTTCTCTCCCAGGATTTCATGTGTGCTTTGCTGGGGTGTTTCTGTCCTGCCCACTGGAGGCATGAGTCCCCAGCACCCAGCTCTGGACTGCACACCATAGACAGAGCTGTAACTAATGTGACATGGGAAGCTACTTTGATTTGTCCCCAGAGACAGCAGACATTTGAGAAAGTCTGAGAAGGATAATCAATAGTCAATACTGACTTTCCTTGCAGCAGAGCAAACTAAAGAGATGGACCATGTGATCCCACAATGGCTCTTTGGCTTTGTTGTGGTGTTGTGTGACAAAACACTGACCTCAGCCTGAGGGGCAGTCATCGAATGGGGTAGACTTCAGATTAAGTGACAGGTGGGGTGCTCCCTTTTCTACTTGCCAGCTGTCACCTTGGGCAGAGTCATAGCTCTTAGTGCAGTGCCTGCCCATGGGAGACACTCAGTAAATATTTATTGACTGTGGAATGATCAAGCTTTCTGACCCTCAGTTATCTTGTCTATCAAATAGAAATAGTAGTACCTATTTCACAGGCGTGTGAAGAGAGAATGTTAAGTGTAGAAGGTGATGCTGTCTTTTTTATTGTTTTCCCTTATAATAGCACATCCTTACTTCCAACGTGGCCTTCCCTTGGGAGACACCAAGGCCAGAAAGGAGTCCATGGAGGGATTGGGCAAGTTTGATTCTTCTCCTAGGAGAATAACTCAAAACTTTCCTGTTGACTCTGGACCAGTAGCATCACCTCTGTGCATGCAGAACAGCATGCTGCTTCTTTCATAACCGGAAGTCAATTGGTATTGTTTAAGATACCACAGTCAAACTTTGTTCTGCCCAGTTATGTTTTGGACTGACAGCTCCAATAATAAATTCTTAATTATAGTGCACTTTTAATGAACCAGATAATCCTGATTAGACTGTGGCCTTCAGAAACTTGTGGCACTAGTTTCAGTTTGGGCAGCATAAACCCAGGTGAACCCGAGAGGAACTCAGGTGCTCTCTTCCTTAGAGGACACCCAGCAGGGAGAAGACACGATCTGTTGGAGAAGGCAAGTTTCTCTGCTTGAAGTTGAGGTAGTGTGGAGAATTTGGAGGGAAACAGGCCCCGATTAGTGATTGCTATGGGTATAAGAAAGAACAGTTTCATTTAGTTGGGCCATATTGGAAAGAGGAGCACATGTGGTCCACGGTTCCCAGCACTGATCTGTCAGCCCTTGTTGGCCCATTACTATGTGTTCACCAGTCCTTAGCAAAAGTGTAAGTAAAAGGACGTCAGCAGGGTATTCTTGGGAAAGAAAGTCTTCACTTCTGAAATCATGGCCTTCCTTACCTCTTCCATTAAAAGATATGGCGACATGAGGCTGTAGTTGTTTCTTTTATGTCCTGCCACGTCAAAATGAAAATTTGACAATAGTGTAATGATTACCACTTTTTTTTGAGGGAGATATTACTTACCCATGGAATTCTGAAATTTGGGAACTGGGCCAGGCGCGGTGGCTCATGCCTGTAATTCTAGCACCTTGGGAGGCCAAGGTGAGAGGATTGCTTGAGCCTAGGAGTTTGAGACCAGCCTGCACAACATAGCAAGACCCCATCTCTACAAAAAGTACAAAAATTAACAAGGTGTGGTGTCATGTGCCTGTAGTGCCAGCTACTCTGGAGGCTGAGGTGGGAGAATCGCTTGAGCCCAAGAGTTTGAGATCAACCTGGGTAACAGTGAGACCTCATCTCTACAGAAACATAAACAAAATTAGCTGAACATGGTGGCATGTGCCTGTAGTCCCAGCTACTCAGGAGGCTGAGGTGGGAGGATCGCTTGTGGCTGGGAGGTCAAGGCTGCAGTGGGCCGAGATTGCACCACTGCCCTCCAGGCTGGGTGACAGAGTGAGACCCTGTCTCACAAATTAAACAAAACGGGAAGCAGTTTACAGTTGACCCCCCAAACGGCTAATCTTCAAATTGTCCATGTTGGCTTTGGGGGGGTCATTTTCTTCTAAGAAATATAGGGTATTTTTTTTTTCTATTAAATTTAAGATGCTAATTCTTTATTTGTTAATCCAGCCCAAACAAATGTACTGGGCACCATGCTAAGCGTCAAAGAGCCAGAAGGCTTTCCAAAGCTATGCATGAATCTTCTTGGTAGAGTTGCAGGTGGGGATGGTGCCCCATGCCTTAATAGGAAATGCCATACACACACACACACACACGCACGCACATACACACACATATACACACATATACATATATTACTTCTAACTAGTACAAATATTTAGTTAACATGCAGAAGAGGCTGATGTGACATGATATTGAGTACCAGATCTTGTGGTTTTTCAGCCCTGAGTTAACCTTGCCTGAGTATGAATATATGAGCCTGGTTTCTCATTTTATTGTTCCGGACCAGAAGCAGTAGTCCTGATGGGATATCTGTGTGGACAGCAACTGATTATCACCTTTTATCATATCAGTGAGGAAATAATAATGGGACTTCGTAGAATTGTAGAATGACACGTAGGTATTTGGGGTTTTGTAAGACTTGGCAGGTCAGAGTTTTAAGGTTTATAGCCTTTATACAGCTAACCCTGCAAGGTGTGCTTGATAGTACATTTGACTTCTGCAGTTTGACAGATTAGGACGTGGTTCTTGCCTATACTTGTATCCTTAGAGGGGATGGTCCTTAAAGCAAATGCTACACAGTACCTGGCATGGTGCTGGGCATTAATAGGTGCTCAGTAAATCCCAGTGGAATTGAAGGAACTCTTGAGACCTATTGACTGACTGTGGTTGAGAGATGATCTTGTCAGATGATTAGGAATGGAGGGTTTCAGCATGGAACTACAGATTAAACCTAGCCACTGTGGAGAATGAACAAGCCTTGTGCAGGGAATCCAAGGCCAGCTGTAGAGGTGACAGTGGGCTAACACTGGGCTAGTGGAATTTTAGCCTGCTTCCCCGACCATCCTCACAATATCTATCTGGTGGGCAGGCCCTGTATAGGAAGAGTGTGTGTGTGTGTGTGTGTGTGTGTGTGTGTGTGTGTGTGTGTGTATGAAGGGTGGTGATTCTTCAGAAAGACGTGGCAGTCTAGGGTGTTAAGGACATATTGGGGCTTATCCACAATCACAGATGCATCCTTTGGAGAAAACCCAGCTTCTGATTCATAAATTACAAAAAAGTTGGAGACTTGTTCTTTCTGCTTCTCAGCTTATCTTTGTGGGAGGCTCACACCTTCCTGCTACAGCCATCTTCAGAGGAAGAAAGGAGCAGGTAGAGGAGA